TTATTTATTTTATTTTATTTTATTTTGTTTTCTTATAAAACCAAAAAAACTGAATATAGCTTTATTTACTAAAGTAACTAAGTCAGAGAAAATGGATTCACTTGTAAATATTTTTGTTTCAATGAAACAAACATGTATTATTAATATACATATATTATAAACATAATATAAAATATAACCTAATAGTAAATTAGGTTAGGTTACTGGGGCCGTCCGTAGACGCACTTAGACCATAAGGTCCATTGTGATATCCTTAAGAATTTGACACCTGTCACTATAACTATTTAGTACTGCCCACAAAGCCATTAACACGAGCTAGGAAAATAGAATTTAGCACATTTAGCTTAAAGAATTGAAAAAGTGCGACCCTAAGTGGGAGAGTTTATGTTTTGCGAAAGCAGGACAGAGGGTGTATTGGCGATGCCTCTTCGTCCTTCTCCATGCAATGTCTATAATGCAACGAGGTTCTGATATTGAGCCTCACAGTATTTTCTCTCAACGGGCAGTGTCTCATAATAATTCCCACTCTCTTAAATAAATTTGCTCGGGATAGGTTGATTTCTGACCAAAATTCCTTAGTTTTAATGTGATGCTTAACTGGGCTAAAAATACACTATAAATATGAGAAAAATTCCTATTGAAAATTTTTTTATAAACATTTTCATTGTTGAAAGCGAAAATATGGAACAAATCGCTTTAATTGCATAAAATACCTGAATTTATTTTGAAATTTGAATGAAGTAAATCATGAGTTTCACATTAGACTATTCCAACACACCAGGACACTTCTTGTTCAGAATTCCCGTGCATGCTGTGATTTACGAAACAGAAAACTAATGAAATGTTGCAACTTTAATTCTTGTGGGAAATTAAAAATATTGAACATACCAGGGAAGAACAACGCGAACACCAACCAAAATGTTCACATTTGAATTTACACAAAAACTGTGCAACTACACAACACAAACAAAATTATTTGAATGTTAAAATTCAGATAGAAAACGGTTCCAGCGCCCGGGAAAAACGCAAAAAACGCAAAAACGCATAAATCAAAAAATTCATTAAACGCAAAATTACAACAGATCTGTAGGAAAACCGACATGAAGAGGAAGACACGTACGGAAAATGAATGTGAATTTACTTACTATCGCTTTCAGCAAATATTTGTGGAAAATTATTACGTTTTAAAATCATTTATATGCAACCACATTGATTTTGAAGCGTGAATTATACATTTTCCAAGTATTTCTGCTTAGAACTATCAATAAGACTAGAATTTCTAAAATACGAGTATGATATGTCAAGGCTCAGGACATATTTTTAAAAGGTATTAACAAAAGACGTTTCTTTTTTAAGTTAATTGTTATTGCAATGATCTATTATAGATGGCGCTGCTTACATATTGTGAGTGTGTTTGAGTGCCGATGAGTGATTTGATTTCTGATATGCTGTTATTTTGAAGTCAGTAATATAATTTATAGAGTACTTCAATCATATATTCTAAAACAATTTTAAATATCTTCGAAGATATTATTGATAAGTATTTGCAGATATCCCGATCGTATTTCATATTGCGTCAAAAAGTAATCGTTTGTTATTTGTGAATATCTGTGCTTCTATATTATGTGATTATATCAAAAACTTTTGATTTTCTAATTCATCATATTACTTGATGAGTACAAAGAAGAAACAACGATTGATCGTTATCTGGCTCTTTTGAGGGATAGAATCTTGAATATATTTTTAATTTGAAGAAGTAACAGAGCAAAGTATAGTCATTCATATTAAAATTTATAAGATTTATCATTAAAATGATTATGGTTCACTTAACATTCTTAAATAATGAAATAAATAGTGAGTACCAATCCTTTTCATATTCGTAATTTATTTATTGATATTCAAAATTCCATCAGTAAAAGTGTGTCATATATGCATCGTATCCTCCTTAGTTGCCTTTACAGTATTCACAGTGGTATGGCCTCAAGACATTAACCTTGCGAATTGATAAGGTGCCCAACATTTTGATAATACAGCATTATTCGTCTTGAAGATCGTTTAGATTACTAATAACCTAAACTTTAACTATACTAGATTTATTATCATTTATCTTTTAACTGATGACGGACCGTAGATCAGCACATCTTTCTGTGCACCCTGAGTTGAACTTAAGGTTTGTGCGGGGATGGGCAACGTATCAAATTTTGTGAGTAATTTTAGGGTTCTGTCCTTGATATATTTTTTCACTGAGTCGATTATTAGATCTCTATGCATGTCTGTTGTTGTAATGTCTGAATGTAATTAAAAATTATTAAAAATACCTGGCATATGATATTTTTAAGTTTATTTTATTTTAATGCGTTTTCTGTCAAAATATTTATCTTTGTAAATATCATATAATTTTTTGTTTAATAGAGAATCATAATGGAAATAAAATAACTTATTTTCATTAAGGGAAATCAATAAAATTTTTTAAGGAAGTTTCTCTGAGGTAAGATTCTATATATAATTACATTGAATAAAAACTTAAGGAAACGTTTTTTAAGTTAACAATAGATGGATTTACTAAATGATTCAAGTGAGCTCTCTGTTTTTATTTTCACTATAATAATTTAACAGTCATTTAATTACAAAAAAGTAATGGAATTTAAAAAATTCAAATATAGGTGGATCTAGTCTGTCTGAAGGTGTTGCATTATCTCCATGCAAGTTGAACTAAATAAAATGTGAAATGCTTATA